TGATTTAGAGAGAGATTCCATCATGCCCAAGCAATCCGGTATTCAGGTCTTCCACTGCTACTTTCTGGAGAGACGCTGTTTGACTTATCATGCAATTTTTGAGGTATACCTTCAACATTCTACCACAGATTCATAAAGGTGGCCAAACATCACGTGTCTTACTAGCTATAATGACACATGCCAGATCAAAATTACAGGGATTTGATAAGAGGGTAAAACCATTGCATTCCAAATTTATGAGAAAACTGAATGGGTGCACCTAGACCATATAAAAGCACAAGCTACATGAATGTTCCTTCCATGCATACCGCACATGACACTTCATTATTCAAAGTACAGAATTCAGACCTAGAATCATAAAGACAACAGTAGTGAATTCAAAGAGAACCCACAAAGAGACACCACACAGAGTTACTGATACCATTCAAGTCCTCAAATGGCCGCACCATTACTCTTTCTCGCCAGCTTAGTCCACTCTGTGTGGAACGAACCTGGACGGTCAATGCGCTCATAGGTGTGTGCCCCAAACAAGTCTCTCTGTGCTTGGATCAGATTTGCAGGCAGCCGACTACACCTGTAGGTGTCAAAGTATGAAAGGCTAGCAGACATCCCTGGAGTGCTAATCCCAGCCTCCACAGCACGAGCCACAACCCACCGCCATGCATTCTGCCGCTGAACCATCTCCCTTGCAAACTCCCTGTCCACGATCAGATTGGCCAGCTCAGGGTTCCTGTCATACGCCTTCTTGATCCTATCAAGAAACTTCGCCCGGATAATGCACCCGCCCTTCCAAATCCTTGCAAGCTCTGCGAGGTTAAGATTCCACCCCTTCTCCACACTCTTTGCTCGCAGAAGGTTCATCCCCTGCGCGTAGCTGCAAATCTTTGACGCATACAGAGCTTGCCTCACCCTGTCAACTAGCATCTTCTTATCAACATTAATCGTCTCGAGTAGCCCTGATGGCATCCCCTCCGCCTCTAGAACCCCTGCGGCCGCCACACGCTCGTCCTTCAACCCAGACAAGTACCTCCCATCCAGTGATGCTGCAATCGTGGGCGCAGCAATCGCAAGCTCTGCTGCCTGCTGCACCGTCCACTTCCCGGTTCCCTTCATCCCCGTCTTGTCAAGAATCTTGTCCACCAGCCCACCGCCGCCGCTGCCATCAAGCGGGTCGGCCACCGTGAATATATCGGCAGTAATCTCAACCAAGAAACTCTCCAATTCCCCCCGGTTCCACTCCGCGAAGACGTCAGCGATCTCCGAGTTGGACAGGCCGCCGACGCGGCGGAGCACGTCGTAGGCCTCGGCGATGAGCTGCATGTCGCCGTACTCGATCCCGTTGTGCACCATCTTAACGAAGTTGCCCGCGCCGCCGGGGCCGACGAAGGTGACGCACGCCCCATCCTCCGTCTGCGCGGCGGCCTTCTCGAGGATGTCCCTGATGTTGTTGTAGGCGTCGATGTGGCCCCCCGGCATCAGCGAGGGCCCGTTCCGCGCGCCCTCCTCGCCGCCGGAGACCCCCATCCCGAGGTAGAGTATCCCCCTCGCGGCGGCCTCCTCGATCCGCCGCTCCGTGTTCTGGTACCACTCGTTCCCGCCGTCGACGATGGCGTCCCCGGCGTCGAGGTAGGGGACGAGCGCGTCGATGGTGGCGTCGACGGCGCGCCCGGCCTGGACGAGCAGCACGACGGTGCGGGGCCTGGAGAGGGAGAGGACGAAGCCCCGCGGGTCGCGGTGGCCGAGCACCGGGAGCGCGCCCTCGGCCTCGGCGCGGGACACGGTGGCGTCGACCTTGGCGGCGGTGCGGTTGTAGACGGAGATCGGGAAGCCCTTCTCGGCGATGTTGAGGGCGAGGTTCTGGCCCATGGTGGCGAGCCCCGCGAGGCCGATGCGCGGCGGCGGGGCGGACCCCGCCGCGGAGGAGGAGGCCGCGGGCGGCGCCGGCGCCGGGGAGGCCATCGGGTTCGGCGGCGGCGGAGGAGGAGGAGGTGGAGATGGGGGGGGGGGGGGGTTGAGAATGGTGAAGAGATAGAGGAGAGAGAGAGGTTGAGGGGATATAGAAATATGGTTTGGGGTTTTGGATGGGGTCCCTTGAGTTTTAGGTAATTTTGAAAATGGACCTTTGTGCAAAATTATTTTTGAAGAAAACCTTTGTGCAAACTTTATGGTTCCATCGGTTGGCGTAATAATCTAAAGCAAAAGCTAAAATTTAAATTTTGAAACTTAATTTTAATGTTGATTTTAAGATATTTTAATGTGGTTTCTTTTTCAATATTAACTTTTAAATCCCTAAAAATAAATATATAAAAGTCTTATCTAATTATTAGGGTATATGAGCAACCGATGAAGACATTAATCGGGAGGAGCGATTCGTGGTATTCATCGAAACAATTATGTTTGGATTTAAACTAGAGATTTAGCTATGACGATAGTGGTAAAATGAGTAAAATGTGCGGTTGTTTTTTTACGAAGACGAGGACTTGATACTCGAGCCATTTGGTTGGGAAATAGAATGATAAAGGCGTGCATTCCGTTGTGAAACATATGGTGCTGAGTGCTCATCTTGAATCCAACAACTAACAACCATCCTCTAACATATACTAATAGCGACGAAGAAATATCCCGTTGAAATTCCGATGAATCAAATGAGACTAAAGTATCCCAGGTGAAGTTCCTCGTGCATTTTCAAAACAAGTTCTTACACACTGCAATAAAAAGGTCTCGCAAACAATAATAACACAAAGTTGCTCTTGGGACTTTTAGAGCTACGGTTACATTGATTTTTCAGAGAGAGAACCTAGGTCGAGAGGCTAAGAGTGTGTTAGAGAAGGAGGGGATTGAGGATATTGATAAGATACGTAAAACGAAGTGAGCTATTAGCACATGATTAATTGAGTATTAATTATTTTAAACTTTAAAAATGGATTAATATGATTTTTTAAAGCAATTTTCCTATAAAATTTTTTTGCAAAAAGAACATAGTTTAATACTTCGGGAAGCGTGCGCGTGGAAAACGAAACAATCTTTCTCTCTTTCTCCTGCGCTCGAACGCAGCCTAAAAGTAGAGAAACCAGAGAACTCCAGGGGGGTCTCCGCAAAAAACGTCTTGCCTCGTCGGTTTTGCCCGCTGGCTGCTGGCTGGCCGCTCCGTGACGGGACGGGGCGGACTCGTCGAGGCGGCCAAAGGGTGAGGGGTTATTTAGCACTCCAGCCCCTCAAAAACTTTAATATTATAATTTGTTAAGAGGAGAGGCTCTCCCTGGCTCCCTGCTGTCCTGGCCGCTCGGTTTGTCCAAGAGCCGGCGGCCGTTGGATCCAATCGAGTGGATCAGTCTCTACTCTCTAGTCTCAAGTAATTTGCCCTCCGGCTCCAACAAGAGGTCAGAGCAATCAGCAAGCATGTATTTATGTTCTGCCTCTCCAGCCAACAAGGGGCGGTTGCAAAATAGGAGTTGACACCTCCTCCCTCCTACTAGTGGTTCTCCCAACGTTTCAAAATAAGTACAATTTTGACACTGTTTATATCCAATGTTTGATCGTTCGTCTTATTTTAAAAAAAATATGATTAGTATTTTTATTGTTATTACATAATAAAACATGAATAATATTTTATGTGTGACTATTTTTTTAATTTTTTTATAAATTTTTCAAATAATACGAACGGTCAAAACGCTAAACGCGGATATCTATAGCTGCACTTTTTTTTGGGATGGAGGTAGTAGTATATATCTGGAATTCTGGATCCTTGGACAGTCCTACCGACCACATTCAGGCCTTGTTCAGGTAATAATAAGGCCATGTTTAGTTTTAGGGGTCACATCGAATATACGGATATATATATTTAAAGTATTAAACGTAGACTAATAATAAAATAAATTATAGATTTCGTCTGTAAGCTGCGAGATAAATTTATTAAGCCTAATTAATTTGTCATTAGCAAATGTTTGCTGTAGCATCACATTGTCAAATTATAGAGCAATTAGGCCTAAAAGATTCGTCTCGCAATTTACATGCAATCTATGTCCAAAACATTCGATGTGACACGATGAAAAGTTTTTGCATGGAAAACATGGCCTAATACCTTTTACCTTTAGCATGAAGATTGAGGTTATGTTTGTTTGGACATGATGGTTGGGGACTTCTTTCCCTCGAAAAAAAATGGGATAGCTCGTCAACACATGATTAATTAAATATTAATTTAAAAGAAGTTTAAAGAATACATGTTAATATGATGTTTTAAAGCAATATTTTTGTAGCAATTCTTTTCTTAAAAAAAAGCATGTCGTTTAGTAATTTGTGAAGCGTACAGACAAAAAAAAAAGGGTAATAGGAGTTGAGGTCAGAGTAAAGAACATTTTGAGATAATAAAGATATGGAATTAATCGTCCTCAATTTCTTTCTTTCCGTTGGGAATCAACCCAATAAGTTCTCAAATGAAAACATGGTAGTCCGTCGTCCAGCCATGAGTGTTCAGAATGTGATTTCGACCATTACTGTTTGTTGCTACTCCATCCGTTTCACAATGTAAGTCATTTTAGCATTTTTCATATTCATATTGATGTAAATGAATCTAGACATATATATATATATATATATATATATATATATATATATATATATATATATATCTATTTAGATTCATTAACATCAATATAAATATGAGAAATGCTAAAATGACTTATATTGTGAAACGGAGAAAGTACATTTTATTTTTATTACACGATATAATTCAAAATATCTACTGTGTATATGATTTTCCATGCATCTGATTAAAGATATGGGATGTGTTCGGAAAGCCACACTGGTTGTTTTATCTGCCGCTTGCGGCACTGTTGCCGTTGGCTGCGCCAAAGTCGCAGACCGCAGGTCTGTTCTCTATAGAACACCGTTGGCTTGCCTTCACTTGCAGCCTGGCAACGTGGACCGTGGTTGCCCCGATTTTTTTTTTAAGAAAAAAAAACAAGGTTAACGTCAATGTCAAAAGATCTCATTTTCAGTCCTTGCTGCAAGCGCCGCCACCAAGCGCAATTTCCAAGCACGCAACACAACTCATTTCACAAACATCAGAAAAAGTGCCAACATATGCTGAACAACTCCAAATCCACAGGTCAGCATCATCACCCATCATCTGGTGTTCCAAACATGTGGAAAGAAAAATCTCAGATGGAGACAATTAGTAGGTGTCGTCCAGCAACACCAGAGGCACTCCGAAGCTTCACCAAAATGACCAAAATGTGTGTCGCAGTCAGGGTACATGACATCCATCGCCGAGCTACACATAACGCCCGGTTGGCCTCTTCCAACATGGTGTCAACTCGAAACAAGCTCTAACATCATTCACTGGGTCCAAATAAAAGGGGGAGCCAGTGACCGGTGTTTTCGTAGGGTTTAGATCGGCGACCGAGATAAAAGTACAATCGCGGATAAATGGAGAACATAGGTCCAAATGAACATCCAGCACCACCACTAAAAAAAAAAAAGTAAGCTAGTGCGATGTTCGCATAAGGTTTTCCTGCTTAAGTTTCTCCAAGCTCACATAGTGACTGGGGGTCCCAGCTTAGCCACCTGCAAAATTATGGACACGAGTCAGAGGGAAAGCAATATTATGCACAAAAACCCCACTTGTCATCCGTTGCAGCTCAGTAATCATATGTTTATCTAGTTAGCATGGACATAAAAGAGAGCAGTATTGCAACAGAAAGGTTGTATCATGGACACCAGAACAATGTTGAAAACTGATGGGCGAGCTCTATCAACAGTACAGCGTGCATCATAAGTACTGGTACCATAATCTTCTATCAGACAGCAAGCAAATATTGAAACATGAAAAGCGTCAGTACGAGTATAAATGCTAGAGGAATACCAAATTATATTGCCATTTTCATTTCAATCTTCTGGTGAGGATCATAACCGACCAGCTTGAAGTCTGATGCCACGAAAGAATCTATATCCTTCTTCAAAGGGTTAATCTTCAAAACCTGCACATAGTATTCATATAATTAAACGGATTTATAGACATCACCATTGATAAGTAAGGTGAATCATCACAAAACTCAGGAGTGCTGTTTCATATCTGAATGTTCCATGCTTTTGAATGAAATAAATTTAAATTATTGAGTTGCTTACTGGAAATGGTTTAGGTAGCTTCTGGATTTGCTCCTCCAGAGCTCGCACATGTGTTCTATAGACATGGGCATCACCAATAACATGGACAAACTCTCCAGGAGAAAGACCTGAATTTAGACAAACGATTGATATGCCTCAGGAGTCATGTCAGAATGGAAAAGGATGTTCAGCATCTTCAAATTAATGATGGTACTGTTCCATAATGGAGATATTTCTAACTACTGATTAACTGAAAAGTACTGTATGAACTGAAGGGCATTAATTTCTTGCATCAAATAAATGTTCCCATAATACATTCTAGATAATCACAAGGCACAGCCAATTTATTTTACAGTACAGGAAACAGCATGGTTCATGAAGATTTATGTGTAACTGCATAAAAAAAGAAGAGTAAAGTACACGGCCGGTCCTTAAAGTTGGAGCGAGGTGTCACTTAGGTCCATGATCTAGGAAAATCGTCATTCGGGTCCGCGATCTTGTTTAAGTGAATCATTTAGGTCCAAAGCGCCTCTGACTGGGTTGACTGGCTTACGTGGCCGTCCATGGTGGCAGTATATTTGCATTTTAGCCCCCCCATCTTGGCTTCCCCTTGTCTCTATCTCATTTCTCTATCTCCACATGCTGCTAGCTACTGACCATCACCCGTGCATGCATGAGCCATGCATGGGGCGGCGGGCAAGCAGCTCGCACCACCTTACCAAGAACCGTCGCCGCCATTGTTGCTACCGTTGCCAAGATGTGGGGGGGCTAAAATGCAAATATGCTGCCACCGTGGACGGCCACGTAAGCCAGTCAACCCGGTCAGAGACGCTTTGGACCTAAATGATTCACTTAAATAAGATCGCGGACCCGAATGACGATTTTCCTAGATCATGGATCTAAGTGACACCTCGCTCCAACTTTAAGGACCGGCAATGTATTTTACTCAAAAAAGAATAATGGGAAGTCCTCGGAGAAATGTTTCCTGGCACTTTTTCTGAGTGACAGAATTTTAGCAAATTGTCATTCAATACAACATCAACAACAAACAGTCTTACGCTGAACAATACATCAATAAGGTTAGACCTTTGGGATTATCCAGTCACATAGCAGGGTAGAAGATAACATACCGCAAACATGAGCAATCATGTATGTCAGAAGAGAATATGATGCAATGTTGAATGGAACACCAAGTCCCATATCAGCAGAGCGTTGATACATCTGGCACGATAGCTCCCCGCTCTCAACATAAAACTGGAAGAAGAAAATTATTGTAAGCAAGAAACTATCTACAAGAAAATATTTGTATATCATTTTACTGTAATTCTACACATGGAGAGAGAGAGAGAGAGAAAGGCTCCAAAGTTCAACTATGCAATGAGGATGCATTATATTATATTGTATTATATCAAGTAAAAGGTTCCAATAGCAAGACAATTATTCTCAAATTTTGTTAAAAAAAATAGAGGCACTATACTAACTTGTGCAAACATGTGGCAAGGAGGAAGGGCCATCTTCTTGAGATCTGAAGGATTCCACGCAGATAGGATAATTCGCCTATCGTCAGGATTATTCTTGATCTTGTCAATCACATCCATTAGCTGATCAAAGCCTTTACCAGTATAGTCAGCATGCATGTCGGTATATCTGTTACAAATAGTTAGTCCTTAGTCCTTAGAGACCTAGATGGACAGATAGATTGGTACATCGATAGGTATGTAGGGGCGAGAGAAAAACTTACTCAGCACCAAAGTGTCGCCATTGAAATCCATAAACTGGACCTAGATCACCTTCTTCCCTATGTGCTAAGCCAACACTAGAACACAGTAAAATTTTGCCAAATGGATCAGAGCACGAGAACCAAGAACAGCAATATCCATTGTTTCTCGACTAGTGTGGATCCAAGATAAATACCTGTCAAGATACTCTCTCGAAGCATTGCCATCCCAAATATGAATGCCTTTCTCTTGTAAAACCTGAAGGTAGAAAAATGTATCATTGTACCAAAGTGGTAAGCATGGGAGCTCATGTGAAGAAACTAAAATCTAACAATATTCACTTATGCCTCATCTGCTGCAATAGTTAATGGATACACCCAACATAACTGATGCAGAAAGTAGTTACATAACAGAAAAAGAAAAGAAAACTGTGATTTAAGTATGGTCAACGCTCAAAAAATTGAAAAGAAAAGTTTTCCACCCCACAGAAAATATTCATATATCTAGGGACAACATAAACTTCCATCAGGCTTTTGCCAAGCTTGTAATTGAGGCCCTTCTGAATAAATAGACCAGACTGCACAGGTAAATAAATATCGCACTGAATTTGAACAATCGGTCATATGAGATTTTCCTGGTGTAAAATTACTCTAAGATTGTTAGAGCTGCAAAATTACATGTTGGAGTTGCTATAGACAAGATAACATCATGGGCTTTATTTGTGCATGGACATATGATGAAAAAGAACACGAGGATCCAGTTTTAGGCTGATAAGCATTCATGGCTCGTCTGGATAAGTAATTTAAAGCATCGAGACAGTATATAGATTGCGTATGGATATAACATTTCCAATGAAATATTAAATTTTAAGCAGAAGCACCTTTGCACTTGTCGAGCCACTGATGAACCACAGGAGTTCTTCAACAACACCCCTCCAAAATACCTTCTGTTAAAGAGCATCATGTTATTATATTTCAATAATAAAGAAAAGGAAACCCAACACTCACATTATACAGCTTAAGAGGGGCTAGTTTCTACATATACATTTTTCAAGAAGTTGCGTTACAAAATTGTACTATGCTTCTACAAAATGTGGCACTAAATCTCCAAATCATATACGAACATCAGTAAAATAGACTGGTAGGGAAAAAAAAGAAGGCAGTAACCCAGGACACAATGATACAATTAATAGTATGATCCGGAGGTGTGGAAACTCAGTAGAAAATGAATATTTTTTTTCTCCCATGTACAGAAGAATGTCCCAATTTTTTTCTACTGTGTACAGAAGAATGTCCCAAGTTACAAGTATGAACTCAGCACCAACATCACACTGAGCATCTTATTTTTGCCTTAGTAAAGATGATAGCCAGTTACAAAGACTGTACTATTCAGACCATGCAACAATTAGCTATTTAGTTACAAATAATAGGCAAAGAAAAGGGCATGTGTGATGAAAAAAGATTGAAAGTAAACCAATAAGACACAATAGCAGCCAATTTGACATGTATTGAAAACTAATTGGTCTGAAGCACTATGAAGATATCCAAACCAGAGAAACATAAGTTTCATAACCACATTTCCCCCCGCATGCTTCTTTTCTGTTAAATCCATCTTTTTATTTAAGGAAAACCCATTTCTCATTTCCACAGAATTGTTTGTTCATCATTATCAAAATAAATCAATTAGATGCAAACTGATGTGCTTTAGTGCAAAACATGCATACCTTTGTTGTCAACAATGGGAAGCTATTCCTTAAGTTGAACCGCATCTGATGAGCAAAAGAAAGACATGTTATATTTTCTGTTTATTCAAGTTAAAGACAGGTTATTTCTGGTTATTCAAATTAATTATTCACAACATTAAAGAGAAAATACCTGACAACCAAATTTCGATAATGTCCCTGTTCCTGTTCTGTCATTTTTCTGAGCACCACTCCTTATAATATCTTCAACAAGATTGAGATAGTGATACTCCTCATGGCGGTCAAATATCAACTTAGGGAGAAAAGAGAAATTCTCGGTTTCAAATTTGTCACTCTTGATACCATCATTAGCTGATTCCTTGCCATTTGAGTCATGTGTTTCTGCCATTGTTTTTCTAACCCGAACATAGGTCACAAACGAATGCCTAATGTTGCTCTCTACCACAGGCAAAGATGAATACCATGGTTGGAACACCGATAAGTCAATCGGAGGAATAAAGGTGTCACACTCAATGCTTGACTGAATGTCAGTTAAATGGACTGCCTCACATGAAGGTCCATTAAGAGATTCCCTACAGTGAAATTTTACAGATAAAGGTGAATAGAGTTGAGGTGGAGTATACAGAAACAACACAATTTACATACTAGATGCTTTGGCAAAAGTTAACAGCTCACCTTAGTACTTGTCCACCCCCTATAACAAAAACTTTCTCAATGGATAAACAGTATGGAGTTGATGATAGTAGTTCCAATGCAGAGTTCATGCTTCCACAGATAACAACATTTTCGACTGTTGCAAACTCAAAACTACCAGACCTAGTCAATATGATGTTCAAACGGCCAGGCAATGGCCTAGCCTTAAGGGGTAAACTCTCCCATGTTTTCCTCCCCATTATAACAGCATTTTTCTTCACAGGATCAGCTGTAGTCACTGTAAGCTCCTTGAAAAATTTAAGGTCGCCAAGGAGCTTCCATGGCAAGACCCCATCCTTTCCAATGCCCATGTCGCGAGTAGCAGCAACAACTACCTGATAGTTCCTCTGAGGGCCATTCTGTGAAACACCATTGGAGAGAGTTGTAGCCATGGCTATCAGTCGGGTTTGAATAAAGCAGCAAGACCTTAGTTTTCTGCTGCCCTCCAGAGATTGAGGTCTTCTGAATTGAGAAATGGGTGCACAGCTAATGCCCGAAAATCTTGCAACCTGAATTCCAGAAAGCAACATATTAGATGAAAATTCGCTCAGATATTAGAAAATAAATTAATTATAAAAAAAGGGTAAGCAGGCTTATAATCGCAGTGAGTGCTATAACTTATAAATGAACAGGCGTTAAGTTTTATAATAAAGAACTAAACAGAAATAAAAATAAATAAATAAGTAGAGAGGATCCCATGTCAAGGAAAATCATAAAAACAGAACTATGAAGCGATTTTCTCCTACAATTTTGTTCCAGAAATTATACATAGTACCCCTCTCTCAAGGCAAGTAACTGTACTTTAATGCAGGGAAAAGCATTGACAAGTAAATTTCTGTCCCTATAAAGAGTTTCGGTAGCAGTATATACTTGGCATGCATGTCGCGAAAATCTAGAGATGTATGCTCCTGCTCTGAACACCTCTGCAACTAACATCTGGATCCTGAGCTAAGAATAACAAAAATTACCATAGTTGATGACACTACTTAAGGAGCACAAAACATTGGACTGGTTAAAGTTATGAAGAGAGATAAAGCGAAGAGCAAGATGTGGTGTTACCCAAATGCCAGAACTAAACTATTGCCTGTACGAACTCTTTATGCTTTTTATCAAAAGCTGGGCGGCTGCCTTTTTCTAAAAAAAAAAAAAAAACTATTGCTAGTTTACTCTACTGGTGAAATACATGCAGTTGAGCCTCTCAGTGGATATTATCCTGTCATTCCAGCATAAGTGAACACATACTCTACTGGAATCAAAGATACAGTGAAGGAGTCTAATTTCATACAAAAGCCATTATCATAAATAAATATCTATAAGATTACCACTGCATTCTTAATGTAGAGATGCATGACCTTGCATAAATATATATATACTTCAAATGCACGAAAACATAACTTAGATATGCATGACCTTGCACCTAACACCTTTTATCCCCCTAACAATCTAACATCTGAACTAACGATAACACCTGCAATGGGTCGTTATCATCCCTTGAGCAATCGAACACGTATGAACAAGTAAAATTGTTCGCTGAAGCAAGGCAAACGCTCTGAAATCCGAAGTGCACGGATTTCTACGTTCTACTCCAGTAGTATAAAGTGATTACGGACAAGGGAAAGCTAAGAAATTATCCTACATTTTCCCACAATGATAAATCCCCGCCACTGCCACTCCACAACAAGCTTCACCATTAATCGGTACATGTGAGTTCATCTGAACCCCCAAACCTCAATGAAATAAACGAACTGATATTAGCACCGCAACCACGCGCACGAAACCAAAAAAAAAAAAATCCGGAAGGGTTTATCTAACCAACCCAACTCAAAAGGCAATCCACGCCGCGCACGGCCTCACGAAGCGGCGGCGCCGCCGGAGGATTGAGAGGGAGGGCTAGGGGGGGGAGACGAGCGGCGTACCTTCGGTTGGATTCGAGCCGCCGAGATGGAATGGAGGCCGCGCGGATGAACCGAGACGGGGGTCGGGGGTCGGGGGTCGGGGGTTGGGGGGTGAGGAAGGAGAGGAAGAGAGGGAGGGTGGTGCTGGTGTCCGTCCCACGCCGTGCGCCTCCCGGCCGAGTTCGCCGGAGGGCGGCGGCGGCGGCGGCGGTGTCTCTCTCTCCTCCGCCGCTGCAGATCGGGAACTGAGACGGGGGAGAGTAGAGGTTAGTGTGAAAAGGGGGGTTTTCTTTCCTTTTTTTTTTGAGGGATTTTGTACGAATTGAAAGTAGTGAAGGAAGTAAGTAATACCTCTTATTGGGCCACGTCATCCAATAAACATAGGCCGTCCGATTTCGGATCCAGATGGTCTAGGCCGTAGGATCCTTTGATTGGATAAATATTTTAGTGATCCTTTACAAAACTTCTACTCCCTCCATCCCTAAATACTAAGAGAATCTATTCTGTAAGTTTATTTGAGTTCAATGGTTTGCCATCAACATTGTCATTTTCTATAATATACCGGCAACTTTATCAATCAATTGTTCTACAATACGTAATTGGGTTGGGACTTCTTTTCAAAAATACCCAAAATACCCTTATGGACATACAATGTTAATTATTGATTTATCTCATTTATGTGGCCTTCTTATATAACATGGAAATTTATATAAAAGTTTCAGGTTTTTTACATTTTTATTTTTTTTAAAAAAAATGTAACTTGTATGTGATATGATATATAAAATACTTCTTTATTGTTGTTTTTAATATAAATCATCTTTCATACACTACAGATATTTCTGTGCTATTATCTTTTGTATAAGCAAATTCTTTTGCATATACCACATAGAAATATTTTTTTTATAAAAACTAAATATACCAGGTCGCCAGTATATTATAAAAAGAGACAATGTCGATAGCAAATTGTTGAACTCGAATAAAGTCAGTGGTATAGAATATATTATCTTTTAAATATTTGACGCCGTTGACTTTTTAAATATGTCTGACGTTCGTCTTATTCAAAAAATTTAAGTAATTATTAATTATTTTCCTATCATTTGATTCATTATTAAATAAATATACTTTTATGTATACATATAGTTTTACATATACATATGTTAATTAGGGAGCTAGTGTTACCGTAGCTGCTGTAGCTGACTTATTTTTACCATGTTAATATCAAGGGATTCGTTTTGGTGGAGTTATGTTAATTAGGGAGCTAGTGTTACCGTAGCTGCTGTAGCTGACTTATTTTTACCATGTTAATCGCAGTGATGAAGATGCCTACCATGTCATGTCCATCCCAGCAAAGTTATATCATGTGCAAAATTATAGCTTCATCGGATGAGGAAAAAAATGAAAACAATAATGCAAAACAATGATACATTGATTGACACAGATTTATCATTTTCTACCATACTTGCAGAATTACAATGTTAAGAAAGTACACACGGTACACCCTATCCAAATGCAGCTGGATAACATGCAACAGTCTCTAAAAAGCACAAAGGAGTTGCCATTTGATGATTACACTATGTCTGATAATCCCATGAGGTAGCTCAAATTGTTCATTGTCAGATGGGTCACAGATGATCTTCTGTAGTTAGGCAGCAAGAGGGTGCCTGATGATCCCCCGCCCTTCGTCGAGGACGAAGTTGTTGTCCCTGAAGTGGGCGCTGGAGAAGAACGGTCTCAGGTCATAGATTTCGTACTCCTGGGCCTGCATCAGACAGATGTACCGGAATCAAGAGCGAAATCTGGATGACGAAGCATTTTTGCGCAATAAGCTTGGTTAGAAAGGCGTGTGGGTGAGGCGGAGATCTTGGCTCATACCTTGTTCTTCAGGTCCTCTACTTTAACCTCGATGTGAGTCAGGCGCGTCGTTGGTCCTGAAACGATTTCTTCGAAGTGCAGCACATCCTTGACCAGGGTGCGCAGAAGAAGCAAGAGCAGCTCATTGTAATCCTTCTTATAGGTCATGTATTTCCTGAAATTCTGTAGAGGCAGAAGAAACATACTTTAAAATTTGCAGAAATGGTGAGGAACTACAGTTACATTGGTGAAAACAAAGAAAGGAAGGGGCATAGGTTTGAGCTCGGAATGAGTTCAGCAAGTAATAGACCGCATAATGCAAGTAACATTTGCTAAAAAACTAAGGCAGCTTACAACAGTTCAAACTCATGCTAGGTATGCATCAGTTGGAAGATGATAGAATAGCAATACAACAGCAAAATCAAAATTTACCTTTTGAAGTGCTTTCTGTACACCAAACTTCTGAGTTGAAATAAATGAGTCAAGCAGGACGCGGATAGCCATGTCGACATCTTCCTGAGACACGTAGCTCCTCAAATGCATCCTTGCATGTGCCTCTGACATCCGAATAATGGATTCGATATGCCTTACGGCAATAGGGACTCCTTGACCATGCTGAAACAAGAAAATAGGTTGGATATCATGTTGGTTTCCAGTTTTCATAGGTATCAATATCCAATTCGGCAAGATATTTAAGTATTTGATAAGATGCATTTGATATGGACAAGAAACAAGGATATCTTACAGATGACTCACGACGAAGTTCTGCGTAAACATGGCTAATCTTGTCCAGGTCAGCATCATGAATTTTGGGAAACACGTTCAACTTGGCATAAGTTATGTACTTCTTCAGCATGTCTTGAGAAAGGATCTAAAAAATATAGGATTTTGTTAAAAACAATGAAATTTAGTAAAAAAATGTTTCTGTTGTGCGAAGTACAAAGGGTTCGTACATCTGGGTCAGCTTGTCTGGCAGCAGCCAATGGATCATCCTCAACATCAGTTGGAACCCTATCTTCAAGGTTAGCACCCTTGGGTTGAGATCTTGCATGACTATCTACAACAAACCTTGCAAGCATTTCATCTGTAAATGGGTCAACAATGTCCTGCATTTGCACCAGAAAAAATCAGTACAGATAGATACCAGGACTGCAAAAATATATTACACAGCAAAATCAGCTCCAAACCTTCACAACACAAAGGACATCAAAACGTGAAATAATTGGATCCGTCAGTTCAACATTCTGGGTGAATGTCTTCGATGAATCATATCTGCAATAACATGATAAAATTAAGTATATTGCTCAAAACAATTGTTTGAAAACATCCTGAGCAAGTAGATCACATCACCTTCCTCCTATTGGGTTTGCTGCAGCAATAACACTGCACCGAGCTTGAAGGGATGTGACAATTCCGGCCTTTGATATACTGATACTTTGTTGCTCCATGGCCTCATGAATACTCACCCTGAAACAATAAGAGAAAGATATCTTAGGGCAATAGAACATAAATGCTTAAAAGCACACATTATCCAAATGGTATTACACATACCTATCTTGATCGTTCATCTTATCAAATTCATCAATAAGGCATATGCCTCTATCAGCAAGCACTAGTGCACCACCCTCAAGTGTCCATTCCCGTGTTACTGGATCCTTGTGAACTGCTGCGGTGAGTCCAACAGCAGAAGCTCCTTTTCCAGTTGTGTACACTGCTCTGTGTCCAGTTTTCTCAACATACCTACAAAACAGTGAGTTAATTTTTTAGATAATGAAATATTGAGTTAATGGAGCAATAAAAAGAGAGATGATGAAACTGATTGCCTATTCCTTACTTGAGAAATTGGGATTTTGCAGTGCCTGGATCACCTAAGAGGAGTACATTGATATCTCCTCTCAAGCGATGCTTTCCCTTGACATTCTTCTCTTGCCCCCCAAACATAGCTAGTGCAATGGCAGTCTTGATATCTTCATGACCATATATGGATGGTGCAATTGATTTGACAATCTGTAAACAATAAGTCATTTGTCAGACAATACTGATTAGCTTATTATAATTGAGTCAAGGGGCTTAAGGATTAAGCACAAACCCTTTCACCGATCCGTGGATCTTTTGCCAACTTCTCAATCTCCGCCTTGTCCTCATCAGTTAATTTGTAAGCAGAGAACAGATCCTGTTTTTTTGCCACATAGTTTGCCTCCACTACTGTGGCAAAAACTGGGAAACCATTCTTTGTATTCAAAGACAAGTCAAAATTGTTGGTGTATATCCCAGTGACCTCCTGAACATGGGCAGATAGTCAATTAGAACATGCTTTCTACAATAAGATGTAGAAATAAAAAAGGTACATGCAGAAGACTTACAATTTCCTCTCCTGGTCGAGCACAGTCAATCAAATCATTCAGAAGTATCACTTCCTTGTATCTTGGAAGCCTGCCAGCAGGAACAATTCCTGGGCTTTCCTGAAGAGTGAGTTTCTGGTAGTTCCTATATATGGTCTGTGAGACAAATAAATCAACTGTTATTAAAAGAGAACAGTTTGAATATTAGAACCAAAAACATGTTCATGCATTAAGACAGAGAAGAAAGCCCAAATGTATCAGAACTACCATCGTCCCAGGCAACTTACTTGCTCAACATTGATGGTGAATGGCCCTTTGGATTGGCACTCAGGGCAGGATCCAACCTTGACTTCAGTGTAAGAGTTCTGGAAGAAGGGGCCCAGGACAGTCCCACATTTGCTGCAGTCAAACTTGACCTGTTGTAGCTGAGGAAAAACACCTGATCTCCGAGTAACAACACCACCAATTCGAATCATTGTGTTCAGATGGATTTGCCTGAAATTTGGCAAGTAGCATATAAGCACAGACAATCAATCAATTTGACTTCTAAATACCATACTAAAGAAAGCATGTACTGACCTGATATTGCGTATTTGGTCGTAGACAGGAAGATTGGTTATTCGGACATAGATTTTTTGATGAATGTTCCTATAGTTCTTATGGAGATCAAAAACAACATTTTTGGCAACTTCCTCCATAACTTCTAGCACCGATTGAGGTGCATCAGCCAACCATATAGCAATGTTTGGATGTATATAAATAAATTGCTTGTAATCTATCTCTAAGCTGCATTTGTTAGCTGCAAAGAGGAGAGGAAACATTAGGTAAGCAAGCATTTCTTACAATGCCAACAAATGTGGCCTTTTTTCATGCAAAAAGGAAAAGAGAATCATACCTAGAACCATCTCATTGATTAGTCGAACATACTCAAACTCTCCTTGTTCATTCTTTGGGTTTACATATGTTAGAAGGAATTCTTTGAACTTCTTTGCGATAAAGCGGCGGACTTCATCTCTTGTGACCCACTCTCTAAGAGTTCCTTGTACACGGTACATGTTCATCTCATCTTCTTCATCAAATTCATCCTGCATATAAAATATGCTCAGCAAATAGGACGGCGACCAATTGGAAAATCTAAAGGAACTTAAGGTAATTTTAGTTCAAACATCAATACCTCATATGGATCATCATCAGTCTGGTCAGTCATAGGTACATCCCCTCCAGAATACATTCCACGCTGAGATCTTCCAGGTGAACTAGGCGTGGCACCATCACCGTCATCATCACTTCTTGGTGTTCTTGGTTCCCTTGGTGGTCTAAAATTAGCTCTGTGCCTTTTAGGACGCCTGAAGCTCATATCCTCATCTGTGTCTGCACCATAAAAGAAACACTATCTTCAACTTACAATTACCAAGACCAACTGACCAGAAAGAATATCTCATAGAAAGAATAAACAAGTTTCAAGCAAACTAATTTTAGTAAATATAGAAAGGATTACTACTGCAAGTTCACAACCATACCACAATGTCAAACTCAGATAATATATTCAGTAATGTGATGCTCCATATTGAATATTTAAGAAAAAATCATCACTGAAGTCCAAAACTCAAAATTCACAACCACACTACGGGTTGAATCAGACTTAAAAGAAGCAAATGCAAATGGAGTATACAACCTCAGTTACATATAGTTGACCCAAGAAGCATTAAAACATAGCATTCGACTAAAGCTAACCATATCAAATTAACATATCTCAAATTCTCAAGTAACAAGAATATAAAGTACAACAGCAGAAAGGTGGGGTTCAGTTCTAATATCTCATGGAAATGCAATTTTTCACAATGCCATTACCTTGATCATGTAGCATCCGTGGCAATTTCCTATCAGGTGCTGCACCAGTCCTCACATCCCTTGCATCAAGTTCTGCTTCAGCAGCCCTTCTATCTGCCATGATCTCATCCAGGTTCCTTTCATCCTCTATCGAGTCATCTAACCCAACCGATTCATACTGGTCCTGCTCATCCATCCTCCGGTAATCACTATAAAAGGAGGGAAAAGATGCAATATGTTAATCAAAACTGTGGAATTTAACAATAACTTGCAACATCTGACGAGTTTGCATTGACTTGAGAGTTTTATAATGTTTCATGGATTTATAAAGACAGGTAGTCCCTTTGTACTGAACTGCTAAAAGAAACTGTGTAGCAAGAGGACCGTTAATTCAAACAATATCAATTAGGCAAATTAACAGCCAAATGTATTGTATCCGTTTATTGTGCCAACTACATAACTTAACAGAATAAGCATCAAGGCAACAGGCGAAGTGATCAACAAATCCCTCAACTAATTTACACATGTAAACCAAAATTAACAAACCTATAGGTAATTAAACAGAGCAAGAGATTATCTAATCAAAATGAAAGAACTTCGTGGACATTTCACTGTGACAGAACACAGTAGGCTAAGAGTTGTTTGCTTCTACACCATCGAAGTATCTGTAGCACCACTACAGTAAAAAATCGTACTTAAAATTCTTTGACCAAAAAGTACACAATTTAGTCAAGTAATTGGTCAATCCCTCTTATATGAGCCAGTCAACGGCCAAATTTGCCAATCCCTAAAGCAAATATTTAACATAAACACTAAAACTTCTAATTCTCCCACTAAGCCACAAAAACAAACTTCTAATCAAACCAGATCTCACTTGTCAACCGAACTAGAATGAACATCAGATCTGGGAATTCTCGCTTACTCGAGGTAGTTGTCGTTGAAGAGGTCCTCCCCGTCCTCCTCCTCCTCGGCGGCGACGACGCCGTCGTCCTCGGGGAGCACGTTGGGGTCGACCTCCGCCTCCTCCGCGCCAACCACGTCGTCGTCGTCGTCGTCCGAGTAGGAGGACGGGTCGGTGGCGCCGCGGCTGGTGGTGGTGTTCGGCGGCAGCCTGTCTGTGCTGAACCCCGGCGACCCCGGCGTCGACGGCGCGTTGTTCTCCGAGTCATCCTACCCAAAAAAGAAAAAAAAACACGGCGAGGCGTCAGATCCGGCCGCCGCCGCCGCGCTGAAGGAAGAGGAAGGGGAGCTTACCATCTCGGCGGGGGAGCGGGAGAAGGTTCTGGAAGGTTCGGGGGAGTGGAAGCGGGGGGGAGTAAGGTGGGGAGGAGTGGCTGCTAGGGTTGGGGGAGGAGGAGGAGGTGGGGTTAAGAGGGAGGCGGCGCGGGGGGCGAAATGGCGGGAAAAATTGGCGCCAACGAGCAACGGTTTCCCGCGCAGAGGAGGTGGGGGTGGCAGGCGAGGTGGGCCCTGGTGAGTTCGGGGGGGAAGCCCAAAACTGGATGGAAATGTCTTTGGGCCTCGGCCCGGCCCATTTACGTTAGTCTGGCCCAGTTCAATGGACTCGCGTTGTGGTTGGGAGTGGTTTGGAATAAGTTCACCGGAGATCCCTCAACTTAACCATAAAACCAGAAATCTTTACCCCTAAACTATACAAAACTGTCTAATTTAGGTCCCAAGGCAGTATTGATGACTGGTAGGTGGGGCCCACATGTCAGTTACGTTGCCGCACGCCGCCGCGGCCTCCCCTGCTCCCACCGCGCGCTGATGCCGTCACCGCCGCTCCCACCTCGAGTCGACGCCTCTGCCGCTCCCGCCGTCGCGGCCCGCCACGCGCTGCCACGGCCACCGCTGCTCCCGCCGCGGGCCGACTCCTCCCCGCTCCTACCGTCACCCATGTTCCCCGTCGTCGCCGAGGCCACTGCTGCTCCGACCGCACGTTGCCACGGCCGCCGTTCCCCTCCCCCCCCCAGGGCCGCCGCTCCCACCACGCGCCGCCACGACCGCCGCTGCTCCCACCGCATGCCGATGCCATCGCTGCCGCTCCCACTTTTGCCCATTCTCCCCGCTGTTACAGAGGCAAAAAAGGTAGGAGCACAGTGAGAAATTTGTGTCGGCGAGATCCTCCAACGCGGCGCTTATTGCCGGGTTGCTCAAGATGTTCTCCGTTTCCTGCAGCAGCGACAGTATATCGCTCACTCTCATCACTCGCCTTCTGATCTGGAGGCAGTCCTACTTGTTTCTCTAAACCGTCCCCACCGCATGCTTGATCTTCAGAGCCATCTCCGTGATATGCTTCACGCTACTCACTGGATCCACCATCTTAATTCTCAAACACAACAGAATCAATCGTTTATAGACAAGTAGTTATATATATATATATATATATATATATATATATATAAATTGTGAGGCAGCAGCCACGTTGGATTAGAACTCCGACGAGGAGCTCTCCGTCTCCGGAGGCGGCGGCTAGTGAAGCTTATTGAAGTATTCTTCTCCGTCGCCGACTACCTCGTCGGCCGCTCGCCCGCCACTTGCCGCCGCCGCACTGCTCCGGCCGCGCCCGGAGCCGGCGCTCGCCCACCGCCACAGCCGCGCTCGACCGTTGACACCGCCTGCTCCGGCTGCGCGCTGCCCGCGCCCGGAGCCGGTGCAGCTCCCGCCTCCGGATGGGGAGAGGCGACGCCGGCCGCCGCTCCTGCCGTTGCGGCCTCACGGGCGGTCGCGCCGGCCGCCTCTTTCCCCTTCTCTGGCGTCGGCCGCCTCCTCTCTCCCCTCTCCTGCTTCTTCCCAGCGCGCCGCCGTCGGCCGCCATTTGCTCGCCTGCGCATGCGAACCGAGAAGTTGAGAAGAGCAGAGAAAAAGAAAAGAAAAAAGAGATGTGGGGCCACATCATTTTCTCTCACTGACGTATGGGCCCCCACATATTTATTTTATTATTTTTACTGACAAGGATACCACGTCATCAAAACCAGCCATCTATACTGCCTTAGGACCCAAATTAGACGGTTTTGTATAGTTTAAGGGTAAAGATTTCTGGTTTTATGGTTAAAGGACCTTAAAAAATCTCGCTGTTAAATTGAGGGACCTCTAGTGAACTTATTTCGAGTGGTTTCGATTATGAGATCCAAAAGTTTATTTGAATTTATTGGAATTTTGTTTTGGGATTACTTTTGGAGGTTTTCTTTCCCGTCGTTTTTGTTATCTGGCTCCATTTTAAAGATCATTGAAAAGATAAATGAAATATCCACATAAAATTATTTTTGGAAACATATGAAAGTACTCCTTTTTTCAAAATATAAGTCGCTTTGATTTTTTTAAGTCAATTTTTTTAGAAAGTTTGACAAAATTTATAGAAAAATATAGCAACAACTGTAGCACCAAATTATTTTCATTATATCTAACATTGAACATATTTTGATAATTTATTTGTTTTGTGTTGAAAATATTGTTATATTTTTCTACAAACTTAATCAAATCTAAAAAAGTTTGATTTATAAAAAAGTTAAAACGGGAAACATAGGTAGTTATCTTTTATTAACTATTCTAAAAATTCAGTAAATATTATTTCTAACTATATTTTAAAGCATTGTTGGTAAATCCCTTTCAAAAAAGAAGGGAATTTAAATAGAATTTATTCCACAGCTGCCAAATTCATCCTCTTCAGTACTCCCAGTTTGAACCTTTCTCATGGAGATAAACCCGAATAAATTCACTTGTGCACGACATCAAAACTTGTCTCTGAATACGACAAGAGAAAAATACAAAAAAAAAAATCAGATGCTATGCCATCACGAAATATGCCGTTCACGACTCACCTGGCCGCCCCGTGACCCCGACCTCCTCTCACAGCTACGCCATGAACGCCTTACCCGCATGAGATCCCCTCACTGACATGTGGGACCCACAACGATCACTGGCCCTACCTGCTGATACACGTGTTAGCGAGCTCGCTCACACACCAGTGAGAAAAAGGACTAGTACTAGTAACAATTATTCTCTGCTTTCCGCGATTCCCTCCAAACACGTCACTGACATGCCGGTCCCACATAAAAAAATTAGTTAATCAGAATCGCGCGATTAATTAGGAGGCACTAATCGAGCCGCCCTACTGCTACTCTCACTCTTCCTACTACAAAAAACCAAACCATCACCACAAAAAGCATCAAGGCGAGCTCGAATCCCGGCGGCGGCGGCGGAGGAGAGCCATGGCGTGCTGCGGCGGCGGAAGGGGGGAGGGGGCGGCGGCGACGGAGTCGGAGGCGTACCTGGAGGGAGAGGCGGTGAGGGAGGCGCGGGAGCTGGTGGCGGAGCTGTGCCGCCACTTCTACGGCCAAGGGTGGGTCACCGGAACGGGGGGCAGCATCACCGTCAAGGCCAACGACCCGGCGCTCCCCCTCGCCGATCAGCTCATCGTCATGTCCCCCTCCGGTATCCTCCTCCTCCTCCGCCTTCCTCAGCCTCACACCCTCCCTCCACCTGTTCGATGAATTGCCACGGCGGCAGGGGATGTTATTCCGGGATCGACGAGGGTGGGTGGGTGGGTGGGTAGGAACGTAGTCTGCTGCGTGGAGTTCGGTTAAATTAACAATTTCGATGGCATTGACTTGCCTGTGTCTCATCACTCTTGTGCTGCTACTACGTATCTAGAGCAGTCGAGCTTTGTATTGTTTAATTTGGTTTACTCATGCGTTGTGTTGCTCTGTGGCAATACAAAGTGGAGTCAGGAACAGGAAGGACCACCTCTCTCCTGTACTATCTTGCACTGCTCTGCTCCTGCTGGACGAACTGACTGATGTGATTTTGCATATGGGGATTGCTCGTTGGCATGCACAGTTGAAGATTGTGCTCTGCTGCTCATGTTAGTTATTGTGATCTGTATTAACGTACAAGATTGTGGGGGTGTAAGGCCCTGTTTCTTTCAGCTTGGGATTATTATAATCCAGATTATTGGGAGTAAGCTGAAAGAAACAGACAACTTATTGAAGTAGCTTATTATAATCTGAAGCCCAGCTTATTATAATCTGATAAGCTCATTTAGGTGAGCTTTTTCCAGATTATTGGGTAAAAAATTACCCACCATGCCACCCCACTCCCTCTTTAGATTTGCAAACCCAATAATCTAGGCTCTATTAATCTAGGAAAGAAACAACTAACCGCTTATTCTACTACAGATTATAACAATCTAGCTTATAGTAATCTAACTCAATAATCTAGATTATAATAATCTTAAGCTGAAAGAAACAGGGCCTAAGTATCAGATAAGCTTAGTTGGGTGTTGATTTGGGCTTGTTACTAAAAAAATTGGAACTACGGTTGCTTTATTATTCTTATGTAGGCTGCTTGTCCAGACAGTTGGAATAGACTTAAGCATTTAGGAGGCTAGGTGCTTATTTCATATTGATATGGCCCACCCCTCGTATGTTTGACTGATTGCAGTTTTTGTGAAATGGCTCAGCAAGCACTGCAGTAGCGGTTGAACACTGTGGTCAACTTTATTTATCCGAGTGTGGTTAATAGTCTGGAACGTTCTCAGATATTTCACTGTTAAGTCAGAAACTGGCCAAGAAGAATTAACAGTTTGAATTATGGGAGCTGGAAAACCAAGTGATTTCTGTACAAAGTCAGACTAGAATAAAACATGCAATAATAATTGTACACTACTAAGGAAAAAAAATTCTTGTTATGTTAATAATTTCTATGACAAAGATAAGTTGCTAAGGAGCCAAGATCAATTTTATTTACAAACTAGTAACTTAAAATATTTCTAGCTTTCAAGTGTGAACTATTATGCTTATTAGCTTATGTCTCAATGCAGTTGAGCATCAGTGCATGATGCATGTGAAGTGTTACTATTACAGTTTTTACTTTAAAAATACTTGTGTAAACCTGTGCGTAGTTGTAATGTCCAGTATTGGACCACCTTGAGCATTTCATTATCTAGGCCTGCTATAAAGATACAATGTTATCCTCTTTTGATGAAAACATGATTTTGCAATTTTGGACATGCCTATTGATGTGGAAAGAGGTTTGTCTAGCGCCACAAATCAATCATGGGGATGAAACAAAGCTGAAAACCTGAATCACTAAACAGAACGTGATTTTCTACCAGTCGACCATAACTTCTGTGAGCACTAAGGTTGCGATTTGAACCAAAAGAAACGATATAAGAAATTTTAATCACATTCTCAGGTGTGCAGAAGGAGAGGATGGTGGCAGAGGACATGTATGTGCTGTCAGCAGATGGGAAGGTGCTCTCCTCACCTGTATCAAAGCCATGGCCAAACAAGCCTCCAAAATGTACTGACTGTGCTCCTCTGTTCATGAAGGTTATCAGTGCTATCCTTTGCTTAATTTGTCCGCTTCAACTTGTTTTAGTCTAAATTGTCTAATTTTCATTGGTATTTTGCAGGCTTATCTGATGAGAGGAGCTGGGGCTGTTATTCATAGCCATGGGATGGAAACTTGCATTGCAACCATGCTTGATCCTGGTGCAAAAGAGTTTAGGGTGAACCCACTTGTCTCTTTTCCCCATGAATCTTAGCTAATGTTCCAGTTCTGCTTTATATTTCTCATGAAGTTAGCTGTGATGTTTACAAAAATGTGGTAGTACTAAGAAAATACACCATTTCTCATGTAGTGTACCACATTATGGACATTTTTCTGTCTGATCTAATGTGTCAAATTGAAAAATGGATAATTGTTCATATTTTTAGATTTCCGCTTACTTTTCCATTACAAGAACTTCCATGGTATTAACAATTAAGTGCTAACCTTCTAGATGATGCACTATTCAATAAATTGGAGATTATGTTTGCTCCATTTGTTTTTCATTTCATGGCAGACATTATTACATATGTACTAAAAAGAGTGGTGAACATTTTTTAAAAGATTTGATCGATTATTGATTTCACACAGACATGCATCAGCTATCAGGACCAGTTGGAATAATGTCATACATATTTTCTAAATTTGGTACACTGTTGATTCCAATATTTAGAGAAGTGCACGATGCATACATTGGTCGGGATGTCATGATACTAGAATGTACTCCCTCTGTCCCTAAATATAAGGGATTTTGGTTGGATGTGACACATTCTAGTACAACGAATCTGGACATAAAGCCTGTCCAGATTCGTTGTACTAGGATAAGTCACATCCAACCAAAATCCCTTATATTTAGGGACAGAGAGAGTATTAAATTTAAACATGAAGTTTACCATCCCCACATATTGCTTAGCATATCCAAGACATCAGTGCTATTCCAACACTATTCTATTGGCTAATTAATTCGAAAGCAAACTCAGAAAAATCCAAAATATCATATGTATCCACTATTTCAATAAGGTTGGTAATTTGTTCATTGTGTTTGTAGTAGGCAAAGCTAATAGCAGAAACTATTTGCTGTTTGCATATGGCCAGGGTTTTCAGTCAGTAGAACTTATGATAGTCATAGTATTATCTCATTTGATTGATTTTTTTTAGTCGTAGATCCACCTCTAAAGTGACTGTGATATGGAAATCTTTATTTGACCATATACTGCTATTCTATCTTACAGATGACACATATGGAAATGATTAAAGGAATTAAAGGCCATGGTTACCGTGACGAATTGGTGGTTCCTATAATTGAGAACACTCCTTATGAGTATGAGCTCACTGACTCACTGGCTGAGGCGGTATGTTACTATTGTCCTTCTTTGGAGTTTCAGTTTCTCAATCTTCGCAAAAAAACAAATATTATATTTGTAGTCTGTTGTTCTCATAACTTCGTGTGGATAAAATAGATATTGTTCTAACAACGGGATTGGCCAACCTGTAGGCAATGAAGCAATCGTTACAACCATCTCGTTCATCTGTCATTTAGGATTTAACTTACAAAACTTATTAAATTGATGTTGATTATGAGGAGGTTATTCTCAATATTACCTCCATTCTCAATATGTCATTTTGGATTATGTACATTACTGCAGTCAAACCTTTAAACTTAAGCTTACTACTATGCGCAAAACAATGTAAGCTCGTCACTCATAGAAATGATATTAACAGATATATAATTTTTATATACAATTGAAAAGTAGTGATCAAAACTGTGTATTGGAGACTATGTTAATGACCAAAACAACAAATAACAAAGAACAAATAGAATATTTTGGATGGATCTAGAGAACTGATGTGAAAATATATAACAGATTGCAGCATACCCTAAGGCAACTGCAGTCCTTGTACGGAACCATGGAATTTATGTATGGGGTGATTCCTGGATCAATGCCAAGACACAGGTATGTTTTTCTAACCTCTCATTTTTACTTTGTTTATTTCTTCATTTTAGATTGTCAGCTCTTTCAACAATCAAATAGTAATCTCCTTACACTATGCCCTTGTTCATCAATATCTTCAAGACTACCTAGGTCGTGGGTATACATTAATTATATGACTATCTGTTAGATGCACTTCAATAATATTTATATCAAGCCTGCTATTTGATAATAGTTTTGTGATAAATATAAGGGTATATTGTGTTGGCGCTTTGGCGGTATATAAACTTGTTAGGTGGGTGCAATTTAGTACACAAACTTGTAAAATACTCATTATGGTGCATGAACTTATCTAGAGCGTGCGTGCTAGTCCAAAACTTGTGACTATTCATGTTGAGTTCGTCTGATTATAGAATGTCAGGCGCACACGTGAGGGTATGAGATATGTCGTATGTGTAAATAATTTAACCTTGTTCTTCATTTATTTCGTATCCATTGCATACTCCCTTTATGTATAATTAACATGACTTATTGTATGTTTGATTGACTATATGCATATTTACGTAACATCATATTGACATGTGAGCCTACATAACATCCTAATCAGTGCTCAACTTAGTGAAATTAGTTACAACATATTGTTTTGGCTCTAGTTTGCACGTATTAGACAAGTTTATGCACTGAAATGAGCGATTTACATATGCATGTACTAAATCGCATCCACCTTGTAAGTTCATGTACCAACTGTGCAATTTACTCTAAATATAACTGTGGTCATGCACACATTGTGAGGGATAATGGTTCCTGGACTTTATGCCATGACATATATTTACTTAATTGCTATGCCTGTGCTTTTCAGGCTGAATGCTATCATTACCTTTTTGATGCTGCCATCAAGCTCTATCAATTGGGTATTGATTGGACAACTCCTGAGCATGGTCCAATAAACAGTGCCAAAAGACCACGCAGTGTTCTAAGCTCTAGTATTCCAAATGGATGCCCTGATTCCAAATCATCAAAGGTCTGTTCTTTGTTCTGAGTATTTGCAAAATCTACCTTCTAAATGATTTTTTTAGATCTTATAGTGTACCGTTTTGCAGCAGTGAGTACTAGGTGTTATTGTTTGTGTACTTTCTTAACTTTGTGGTTGCTACATCTGGTCAACTCATCCATATAATATGTTTCTGGAATACAAATAGCTAACCTTTGTGTTCTCTTGCAGCATTGTGTTGTTCTTGACATTGAGGGAACAACTACTCCAATATCATTTGTGACTGATGTGATGTTTCCCTATGCCCGTGATAATGTGCGAAAGCATCTGACTTCAACATATAGTTCTGATGAAACCAAAGAGGACATCAAACTATTGCGCATCCAAGTAAGTTATGATAAATCAATTTTGCACATCCCATGAAGCTGTTGATCCTGTAAGGCTGCAAGCTTGTACCATCTAAGTATTTGTCGATGGTATTTAAGTCATACTATTTGATTAGCCCTGTGAAAATTATTTTGTTTTGAATTGTTAGATTTGATCTAAGTTACCATACCAATTTTGGTTCCTCAACTTCCTATTTGTGGACGTAGTTAACTGTTTTACCACCATGGTGGAAAGTGGCTGGAGTCCTCACCACCAGAACCATGAGTTTTACCACTAGGCCACGTGAATGTGCCCATCTCTGTTTTATGCAAGATATAACATATTAGCATTCATTATTCAGGTTGAAGAAGACCTGAAAAATGGAATTGTTGGGTCTGTTCCAATTCCACCTGACGATGCTGACAAAGAAGAGGTTATCAATGCATTAGTTGCTAATGTTGAATCGATGATTAAAGCAGACAGGAAGATTACGTCGTTGAAACAACTCCAGGTAGATTAGTCCACATTCTTTTTCGGTGCTGCAAGCATATTCCTGTTTCTTTGATGGATTTCAGCATTTTTAATGCAAATTCCAGGGCCACATATGGAGGACTGGTTTTGAAAGTAAAGAACTGCAAGGAGTTGTTTTCGATGATGTCCCCGAGGCGCTAAAGCACTGGCATGCTAGTGGCATGAAGGTATCTCTTTAGTCAAATTCGTGTGGAAGTGTGAACTTTAAACTTTTCATGGCTCCTAATATGTTTTCATGGTTTACTATAGTTATTACTAGCTGCCAACTTGGGTCAAGAACGTTGACCCTAGATAGTGCTAAACAATATCAATTTCAAATTTTTGAATCATCCATTGCAAAAAATACAAAAAAAGGTGTATTAGTATTAGATGACATGATAACAAATAATATACCTGCAAATAGGTCTACATATACTCAAGTGGCAGCCGGGAGGCGCAAAGGCTATTATTTGGCAATACGGCCTATGGTGATCTGCGACAATACCTCTGTGGTTTCTTTGACACCACAACCGGGTATGATTTCTTGTTCCATTTCTATTTCTCTGCATATACTGAAAAATGGTAGTGAAATTATGATTCCATCTCGCATAAACCGCAGTAACAAAAGAGAAACAAGGAGCTACTTTGAGATTTCGCAATCACTTGGGGTGGACAGTCCTGCTCAGATCTTATTTATCACCGATGTCTTCCAAGAAGCTGTTGCTGCAAAAAGTGCAGGTAATGACTAGTTCTGGTCAAATATTCATGGGAATGTTCATGCTTTTATTTGGTGGATAAGATGCTTTAGCTTTAACCAGTCGACCTCTCTGGGTGCCATTCCTAATCATGTGATCATTTCAAGCTATCATTCGTTTCCTTGGGTCAAGATTTCATATTATATTTTTCTTTCCCGACATTTTCTTTTTCAGGTTTTGAGGTAATAATCTCCATTCGCCCGGGAAATGCACCGCTCCCTGAGAATCATGGTTTCCGGACTATCAAGTCGTTTAGTGAGATCTGAAGAAGGTACGCAAAGACAATGTCAGGAGTGCTTTGATGGCGAGCTACCTAGCATATGTAAGAACAATGCAAATAATAAATGGAAAATCCGGAATGGTGGCAAAATAAATAAATTTGTAAATGTGGGCATATTGTTGCATTATTGTGCCATCCGTCGACGGTTTTGTAGCTCTTTTTTAGCAAAGAGGAATAATAAAATTGTTGTTGCGAAAGTTGTTACTTATTTTGTTTACTGTCTACTAACCCTACATTTCTGTTTGCAAACACCTGAAACCGACATCATGCATAGTACTGGAAAACAATTATTTCAGTAAATCCTGCTTCCAATGGTTGTAAAGGCGTTAAGGCGAGGTAAGATGGCCCTACACGCCTTAGAGCATCTCCAACAGTCTCTTTAAATCGGACGCCAAATATCTATTTAGTTAACTCTCCATTTAATTTGGCTAGTCAATTCATCCTTAGAGCATCTCCAACCATCTCTCCATTCATCCTCTCTATTCAGAGTCTATGACAGCGGGACCTACGCGTCAGCCTCTATACCACTTCTTTCTTCCTCACCTTGCTCCCCCTATTCCCTAAGCCTGTTTTTGCTTGCGGCAGATGTAGTTTGTGTGCAGCGACGGGCGGCGGTTGGCGGTGGCCGTGCACGGCGATGACGGGGCGGCAGTGGCCCTTCTTGTTTGCGCCTCTCGTTTTCTCTTTCAAGCAACTTCTTGTTTCTTTCTCTCTTCTCTTTCGAGCAATTGGGGATCTTGGTTTTGGGGGATTTTCGATGGGTTGAAGCAGGTGATGAAAGCAAGACAGGGACATCAACACCCTCTCTATATTTCAGAGATGGGAATGATCGACTGAAGTCATGAGCGGCGACGGCGAGACATTCCCAAGCTCCTCCCCACCCCTCTCCCTTTGCTGCGGCGGCGACGTCCACGCAATGGCGGACGGCAAGGGCAGGCGGCTGACTAACGGCGAGGGGAGGCGGTGACGTCCACGCGACGGTGGATGGCGAGGGTAGGTGGCTGACCGACGACGAGTGCAGGGAGCGTTGATTTTCTGCGAGATTGGGATGGAGCGGTGAAAAAGGGTGGGGCCCACCTTTGGCAAGCTGGGGTGGCTAGCTAGAGGCTGGCCAGATTTGGCCAGGGAGAGGCGTATTTTGGCCAGTTGGATAACTTGGAGAGGCAGTTAGAGAGGCTGTTGGAGGGCATTTTTTCCTACATTTGTTAAAATACGGCTTGGAGAGTGGTTTGGCAAGTCTGTTCGGAGGTAAGGCTTTGTTCGGAGGCACTTGCTCCTGCTACCGCAGCGACTGTGATAGTTTAAAACGGCTGTTAGCTACAGCCATTCACAACAGCTGTAGCCGCAGCCGCTATGGCAGCTAGCCCAGCCGAAAGCAGCCTATAATCGTAATAATATAATATGACAACAAAAATATAGTGTAATATAACTACATTTTAACAACACTTTATATACCTTGTTGCTGCAAATTGTTGAGCCCTGATAGTAGTACATACCCTCTCTGTTTCAAAATAAACTAATCTAGTATGGGATGTAACACATCCTAATACTATGAATTGTCTTTGAAAAACCTCCTATCCAGATTCATAGTATTATAACATGTTACACCCATAGTACTATAATATGTCACATCCAGTACTAAATTTGTTTATTTTGGGATATAATGAGTATTTTAAGTGTTAGATGGGTATAATAATTTAGCATTTTAATAACCAATAACATCAACAGTATTCTATGTACTACATCAAATGCACATGAAGCAAATAGTTAAGGAAGCGGGAGGAACTAGGAAGCCAAGAGTAGTTAGGGAGAGGGGGGAAGCCAAGAGCAGCGAGGGAGAGCACCAGAGCAACGGAGGGCCCAAGAAATGAGCATTGAGGAAGAGAAGAGCATAGAAATAAGAACAGAAAGGAGTAGCTCAGCAGATGATGAAGGGGGAGAGGAGATAGTACTCGTTGAGGGGAGAGTCTCCACCATCGAAAGAGATGGGTACGTCGTTGCCAGATGCAAAGAGCGCTACTGTCAGATGTGAAGGGGAGGGAGCAAAGTCACCAAATGTCATATTGCTTTGCTAGATGCCCCTCTCTATGTTTCCTATAGTGCATGGGCTCGTTTTCACTTAAACTTCTTTTCACGAAAGCTAATTTTTTCACTAGCGATATAGAGCGCGAGACTCCCAGGTGTCGCCTCAAGCTGTCTTACCTTGGTGCGATGCCTTAGAGCCTCAGAGATAACTTGGAGTATATCCTAAAGCGACACTTTACAGTCTCAAGGACATCAAGTCGACACCTTAGGAACGCCTTAACCTCCATACTGCCTCCTACCCAACTAGATTTGCTGGCTTCCTCTAGGAGATGAAGGATTTTATCAATTTGAACACAAATTAAATGGATTTATATGGACGTTTTACAAAATTACAGTAAAATCCATCAGTTATAAATGGATGCCTAATATTCATGATCTATCTAAATTCATAAAATCATATTACTTGTTGTTTAAAATCTGATACTATGGTTGTGTTTAGTTCGTGTGCCAATTTTTTTTTAAGTATACGGTCATACACTTGAAGTATTAAACGTAGACTAATAACAAAACAAATTACAGATTCTGCATGTAAACTCCGAGACAAATTCATTAAGCCTAATTAATCTGTCATTAGCAAATATTTATTGTAGCATCACATTGTCAAATCATAGCGTAATTAAGCTCAAAAGATTCGTCTCGCAATTTATATGTAAACTGTGTAATTGGTTTTTTTCATCCACATTTAATGTTCTATGCATATATCCAAACATTTGATGTGACGGAGTCGGAAAAGTTGGAACTTTAACGAAAATTTTTTTAATCTAAACACGCCCTATATACGTATTTTTTTGGGAAGAGGGCGACGCAGAGAGGAGGATTCCGTGTACAGTGTGGCGACGCACGCGACGCCAATGGCCGCCGCCGCCGCCGCCGCCGTGGGCGCCCGCGGCGGCATCCGGCGCCGGCCGAACCTGTCCCTCCTGGCCGACCGCTGCGCGACCCCGCGCGCGCTCGCCGCCGTCCACGCGGCCATGCTCGTCTCCGGCCGCCTCGCCGACGACGCCTTCGCGGCGTCCCGCCTCCTCGCCGCCCACGCCGCGCTCTCCCCTCCGGGAGCCGTGCTCCGCCTCCTCGCCTCCCTCCCCTGCGCCCCAAACTCCTTCATGCTCAACATCACGCTCCGCGCCCTCGCCTCCTCCCCCGACCCGGCCTCCGCCCTCCGCTTCTTCTCCCTCCTCCGCCGCGGCAGCGGCGGCGGCGGCGGCTCGTACTCTCCCGGCAGGCACACCTTCACTTTCCTCCTCAAGGCATCCGCCCGCCTCCCCCTCCGCGCCTCCGAGCAGCTCCACGCGCTCGCCGTCAGGCACGGGCTGGAGCGCGACGCCTACGTCGCCAACGGCCTCGTCCGGGCGTACTCGCTCGCGGGCCTCGTCCCCCTCGCGCGCAGGGTGTTCGACGGATTGCCCGAGCGGAGCGCGGTGGTGTGCACCACCATGGTGTCCGGGTACGCGCAAAACGGGATGCACGAGGACGCCATGCGGTCGTTCGAGGAGATGGTCGGCGACGGGATCGAGCCCCACGGCGCAGCGCTGGCGTCCGTGCTGTCGTCGTGCGCGCGGTCGGGGTCGCGCGGGCTCGAGATGGGGCGGCGCGTGCACGAGCTCATGGAGTCGAGGCGGGTGACGGCGCCCGTGGTGGGGGCCATCCTCGGGACGGCGCTGGTCGACATGTACGCCAAGACCGGCGCCATGGAGGAGGCGACGGCGGTGTTTGACCGGATGCCCGAGCGGCAAACGGCGACGTGGAACGCCCTGATCACCGGGCTGGCGCACCACGGCCACGGCGAGGTCGCCCTTGCTACGTTCCACCGGATGAGGCGGGACGGCGTGCCGCCGAACGGTGCCACGCTCGTCGGCGTCCTGTCGGCCTACGGCTGCACGGGGCGTCTCGACGAGGCCCGCCGCGTGTTCGCGTCCATGGAGAAGGACTTCGCGGTGGCGCCGACCATCCAGCACTACGGCTGCATGGTCGACCTCCTCGGCCGGAGCGGCCTCCTCACGGAAGCCGAGGAGATGATCCGTGGCATGACGACCTGCGACGCCGACACGGTGATCTGGGGAGCCCTGCTGAACGCCTGCAAGAACCACGGCGACATCGACGTCGCCGAGAGGGCGGTGCAGGAGATGCTCAAGCTGGATCCCGGCAACCATGGCGTCTACGTGGTGCTCTCCAACATGTACGCCGAGGCCGGGAGGTGGCAGGACGTGGACAGGCTGAGGAAGGTGATGAAGCGGGCGCGGCTTTCCAAGATCCCCGGCTCCAGCACGGTGGCCGGCGACGACAGCTGACGTCGGCATTGGAAGAATAAACGACAATTTCATAGCATGTCAGAACTGATCAGCATTTGGCAATTTCATAGTAGCTGATTTTCTGTTCATGAACAGAGGATTGTTGACAAGGCTGACATCATATCGGAAAAGTTTGACAAGTTAAGTAAGGAAATGAGGATTCATTGAACACCATTCACCAGAGGTTGCAAGTTGATTTTACCCACTCGTTGATTCTGTTGTTACATCCATGGGGTAAAATATGACAGATTAACACCAGCTTTGACATTGGATGCTAGCAATTCTAATTCATTGTGGTGATGCCCAGATGAGTTGTTTACAGTGGGACAAGTTCAGCATGACAATAGGAGGCCATTGCTCTACATGCCATCAAAAATTCCCTTCCCTGGAATCAACAAAAGGGAGGGGGCTATACACTCAGAGGTCAGAACCATTGACTCAATCATGATTGTTCAACCAGTATGGCCACTACTAGCAGAGCAGGCTGTATGACGGCATGTCTTCGATCCGCATCACATCATCCAGCAGAAGCTCCCTCTCCAGCTGTGTCCGTGTCGACTTCAGTATCTCCTGAATCACAACAGAATCGCAAGATCGGTCAAAACAATGCAATCTGATGAGTTACGGAGAAAATATGGCATGTACATTGACAGGAAAATTACATTGAAGTCCATGTAGGAGGCGTTCTTGTCGAGCCACTGCTTGTCCATAACAACGAACGCGACGCAGTAGAGGAGATCAAATGCCCACTCATCCTCTGGGGGAACAAAGCAAGGACAAATTCGTTTCAAAATGTTGGTATATTGTATGATGCAGGAAAGGTATTTACTTAACTGGCCCTACCTGACAGCATTTGGATAAAAACAGCTCGAACAAACGTTCTTGGCTTAGCTGCATACAATATTATTGTCTAATTAGTACAACTGCGGTCCACAGACTGGATTTACTGGCAGAATTGGGTCAGTGCTTACTAGATTGGAGATCCAGCATCTGCATGATCATGAATGTGATATTTACACCAGCAACTGCAAATGGGTACTCCCAAGTAGCTCGATTGCCACATTGTTTCTTTAGCAGCCTCTGAAATGAGGCCTACAGGGATTAACCAACCAAAGAAGATCAGTATTAAACAAGAGGGCGATCTTCAGTCTACAGTGTTTCAGATAATGAAAGCAATGATGAAGAATTGCTTACAGAGAATGTCTTCGCGAAGAATAGAAGATTCTCCAGAGATATGAATCCTGCGCCTCTGCACCATGTAGTGCATTTTCACTTAACTTCACACCAGCTGAACATATTTTTGGAGCTAATCTGTCAGGTGGCAAGTTTTAGTTTGGAGTACCTGAAGTCAGTTGATGGGTCTCTTCCTTGCCATCCCATGTCCTTCCACTGTTCAGAAATCAAACCTTGTAGTTCTTGGTCAGGATATGTTGCATGCCAAAGAGCTTTCAATGCTTCCTATCATCATAATTTGCTATTTATCAGGATTCAGGTGATATCAATACAAAGAAACTTACATCAAAGTATACGAGTACATGTTACTACCATGTAACTCTGTGGTACTCTAGTCAAATCAGTGTCATCAATACCAAAACTGAGGAGTTCACTGATTGTTATGCATGATTTTATCTGCTGATCATGTTCAGTGCCAAAATAATTATCTACAGCTACAGCATTGGATAGTGTGTGATAGCAAGTCTACATCTACACTGCAGTTAGACAGAGGGAAATGTAACATATTGTATGAATTCATTTATTGGCTTATTGCTAGTACAAGATTTACCTGATGATCTCGTCTAGAAGGATCAAAATAAACCTTCATACGGTGCCTCAGCCTCTGAAGCCTCTCTTCCTGTAAATTGGAAGAGATGATTGTTTTAACTATCTGTATTAGTGATATATATGAAGAGATAAAGTTTCAAAGGAAGTTCTGAAATGTAAATTTTCTGATGTCAGTGGTCAGACCACATACTGAAATTGAAAAAAAAACTAATATCCATGAATAAAGAAAAACAATAACTTAAAGCCAAAGCTTAAACAATCCCTTTTGAGTGGTCACTGCGAGTCTGCGATTAAGCGATGTGATCTTTACTCAAAAGCAGGCCCGCTTATCTATTGATTGATTTGATCTGCAGATAAATCCTTTTCTGACAGCAGAAAAAGGCCCTGTCTGTGCACATTGGCATAAAAGCATTGCAAATCTTTGCACAGTAAAGATATCTCGCAAGCCCATACCTGCACTGGTGTAAGGTTCATGCATATTCTCTCATAGGCTCCTTTTCTCTTGATGCATACGCAAGAGAGGCTCTTCCCTATCCATCTTGGTGACCCACAGGATGCTTCATCTGCACAAGAACAGGTACATTCCCTCATAAGATTCACCAAAAAAAAAATCCCTTTTATGTATCAGATTACACCACACATATTCACCAAAGAAGAGAAGAGAATGGCAAACTTTTCAAAACTATCAAGGCAAAAATCACCAATATAATAATATTAATATACACTACCAAACCATAATTAACATCTGCATTCCGAATGCAACAAAAAGAAAAAAAAGAGAGGCAAGATTAAACCATTGAAAAAAAACAAGGATTACTGAACTGGCAATCTTGGACCACAGTGCAAGCTGCCCCAGCACCATCCCAGAGCCAAAACTGATGGAGCTAGCTAGGCCTAGTGACTCTGACACACACAAACCTTTGCTTATGCCATCTTAAACAAGCTTACAAATGCCTTATTTATATTTATAAGCCAGTGGATCTATCACCAGAGGATAAGACAGACATGGCAAAAGCATTTTTGCAGCCGACCAAACTGATACCTCCCACATGGTGTTAGGCGACAACGTTCTTAACCCAGAGATATATCATTATCATATATGCCCCTCTCTCTGCAGCTTTCTCATCGGTCACTACTCAAGTTGCCCAACAAATATGCCATCACAGCCAATATTTCTCACCAAATTAGAGCAGCTAAGCTGCCTCCAACCGATAAGATTAGGCGCATATGAACCCAACCAAAACTCAGCTTAAAAGCAAAAGCAACAGTTGGGTTGCCACCATCATCAATAAGCTAATGGTCCAGCATTTTTTTTGATGTTGCAACTGTACAATCAACATCGGTTGATGATGTGGTTTAGTCATATCATATCAATATATATCAATCTTTTGGAGCCAAGATAAGAACACAGAGGAAAGGTGCCATCATTTAGTACCGAAATTAGCACAAAAAAGGAGGTGAAGGACAGCAAGTGAATCTACTAACCAGCTACTTAAGTGCTGATAATTATTGAAGCAGATAATTAGTCCCTTGTTGCGATACTATTATCAATGAAGCGCGACATTATTAGATACTATCGAAACATTTTCGGGCGCCTGAAATCTAGCGAATACCGAAAAGAAGAGTAATTGCACAGAAGTTAGCAATGTGGCACCCAAAAGGATAAAAGGACAAGATCAATGATTAGCTTCCTTGTGTGATTATGCCACAACTTTCTCTCTGAGCCACCACAAACAAGTATGTGGCCAAAAGCGGTAGCAAGTACAGAAATTGACAATACCAAGAGCTTTTTTTTTTATAAGATTCCTCTTGGGTCTCCAGTGCTGACTTCTTGTCAATGAAAAAAGAAAAAAAAATAAAAATTTGAGATATTCAGGTAACATCACAAAAATCATCAGAATACACCAGTGGCCAAAGATACTGGAACTGTTCTAAGAAAGGTGAAAAAGGGAAAGGAAAATGTATAGTATAAAATACAAGAATGCTGGATTAGAACGGCAGGAGCAGAGGAAAGCAGCATCAATCGAAAGAAAAATGTTCAAGAGCACAGTAGATTAAGAACAGCACCAATGGAAGGTAAAACCAAAAAAAAAAAAAAAAAAAACTCCAGCAAGAACAGCACAACATTTGGAACAGTGCAAAAATCTCCCCATAATTCTGACGCACAAATAAACCCCCCCAAAAAGAAATCCTAGAATGCATCAAACTTCCCTTTTCTGAGTAAAAAAAACAAAAATTCGGAGAGAGAGAGAGAGAGAGAAAAAAAAACTAAGAAACTTCAACCGCCAGCCACACGAGCAATAACACAAGCAGGTGGGAGGCGACCAAAACCGTCGTACTACTACATCGCAACCGAAGAAAAAAAAAACCAGAGAAGCCAATGGAAGCACAAGCGAGCGCAGCAGGAGAGAGAGACAGCCTCACCAGAAGATCCACCCATCGCCGCCGCGCCGCCCCCGCCGCCGCCGCCGAGCGAGCACCTCGGCACCGGCGCCCTGACGGCCAGGCACCCGTGTAGATTGTGGTGGTGCGCCTCCGCCGCCGCAGCAGCCGCAGCCGCCGCCTCCATCCGGCCGCTCCCCAACACCAGCGAGTACTACGGCGGCGGTAGTACCGTAGTAGTACACTGCGTACAGAGGAGGGAGGGAGGAGAGGCGAGAGATCGCGGCGGAGGCGGCGGTCGTCGTCGGCGGCGGCGGCGGTGGCGGAGGAGCACGTCGGGGGTGGGGTTGCGGCTTTGGCTTGTCGCCAACTAATAAAACCGTAGTGGCTGGACCCTTTTTCCGGATTTAAATACCAATCACGACACAACACAAACACAGCTCTTGTCTCTCTCTATTTTTTTTCCATACCTTTTTATAAATGTTTGTAAGGAGTATAGGAGTATTTATTTATTTATTTATTTTTGGTATGGATCTAGCGTAAGCTATGGCTTATATCTGGCAGCTTTATATTTGTCATGACTAGTTTTATTTATTTATTTCGTGTTTGAATGCTGAGAGCTGGGCACATTAGGATGTACTCCTTCCTTATATAATAGATTAAGTGATAATTTACTGTATTAGCTAAAAAACTTATATATATATATATATATATATATATATATATGACGCCGTTGACTTTTTGTCCAACGTTTGACCATTCGTCTTATTAAAAAAATTATGTAATTATCATTTATTTTATTATGACTTGATTTGTCATCAAATATTCTTTAAGCATGACATAAATATTTTCATATTGGCAAAAAATTTTTTGAACAAAACAAATGGTTAAATATTGGTCGAAAAGTCAACGGTGTCATACATTAAAATACGGAGGGAGTATCTCTTTTCTTTTTCTCCTGGGAATGAATTAATGTACATGGAGCAGTTCTAATGTGTCAACCTTTGCTCAGACGACAGACGTGGCGCGTGAGGACGTGTTTTTTTTTTTTTGCGGTCTTTTTGAGGTTTTTTTTTTTTTTTTTTTTTTTTTTTTTTTTTTTTTGCGTGAGGACGTGTTTAGCGTGGTTTGTGTGTATGCGCAATCTATGTTTCTATATATATGCAAACTTTCTGCAAAGGTTTTATATACAATTTTTTGACACCGAAAGTTTGAAGCTGAATCGGAATCACACACGTCGATGCTCGCGTGGCCTGAAATCTTATTTCGAAAAAGTTCACGTGTATAAATTAAGCTTTTGTATGGGAAAGGCTCAATTTACAAAGTTTCTATAATAAAAACTGGAGCCAACATATTTGCTCCGATAAAGAACTAGAATTATTATGTAAATACAAAACGCATCGCTACCATATAAAATACGTATGTAGGTTTCGGAATATAATGATTACTATAAATATAAATAAAAGACAATGCTAGTATACAGTAAAAGAATCAGACTCCGAGAGTAGATTGACCTTCACGCATACTCCCTCCGTTTCTAAATGTTTGACACCGTTAACTTTTTAGCATATGTTTGACCGTTCGTATTATTAAAATTTTTTTGTGAAATAAGTAAAACTATATATATACATGAAAGTATATTTAATAATGAATCAAATGATATGAAAAGAATTAATAATTACTTAACTTTTTTGAATAAAACGAATGGTCAAATATGTTCAAAAAAGTGGCATCAAATATTTAAAAACGGAAGGAGTATTATGCACGATCAAATTGAAATAAACTAGGCGTCCATGTCATTGGACACGTAGGCGAGATGTTTGGCACTCTCCTTTATCAACATCTACTTTCTCCTTTTTTTTATATACACATGCTTCGCGAACTACTAAGCGTGTTCAAGAATTTTCTATAGAGAAATTATTTATGTATTATATTAATCTTTTTTTATATTTTAGGCTAATATTAATTAATTATACACTAACAATAGTAAGTTATTTTATGTGCCTCAAGTAGTTACCAAACCGAAATACCAAACACACAGCCTTAATTATGCATGTATAGCGTTTCTATACAAGTGGACACAAATGTTGTCAACTTGCTAAGTCATCAACATATATAAAATACATATATGCACAATAGATAAATAATACTCTATCTGTCTCAAAATATTTACTTTGATCGGATATGACATGTCTTAATATGTTTTAATATGTTTAGAGTCTGTTCAGACTTGTAGTACTAAAATGTGTCACATCCGATACTCCATATAATTATTTAAGTATTAGCTAAAAACATAAAAAAAGATTAATAAGATATTTTAATAACTTTTTTATAGAAAGTTTTACACACTATTTAGTAGTTCGCAAAGCGTACACGTGAAAAACAAGAGAATAGAGGTCGTGAAAGGAGAGTGCTGAACATACACTACTATAGGAATCAAATTTTTAATACGGTCAAAACCAATTTTCGCAAGCGGCTAGGTGACCCGCCTACACCAAGATGCCTACGAAAATCAATATTTTTGCATGTGGTTGGCGCAACTGCTTGCGAAAAAAAATACAATTTTCGTAGGCAGGTGCTTAAGCCATCAATCTACAAAAATAATTTTGACAAAAAAAATAAAAATTGCAAAACCCAAAAATACAAAAACCATAGATCCAAAACCCAAAACCCTAGCCACCATCACACCGGATCCCCTGCATCGTCATCGTGTTGAAGCCGCCACCGCCATCACGTCAGGATCCACCACCATCACACTTGAGGCTACTGTCGTTGTCGTCATGGTCGCTCGAAGTCGTTGGATCCATGCAGGAGGAGTAGGGGCCGCCGGATCCGCCCATCCATCGCTGCTGCTAGTGGATCTGTGCCGTAGGGGGAGGGGGTGAGGGAGGGTGAGACCTGCCACAACGAGGAGGTTGAGCTTCTCGAGGCCCACTAGCAGAGGTCCCATGCGCCTGAGGCCATGCGTATGCTCGGTTGGCAAGGACAATACATAGATGAGCCGTATGTGGGTTAGGAATGGCAATGGGGTCGGTCGGGGCTGGGTTGGGCAAGAACGACCCTGCCCTAACCCTTGACTTCATCCCCCGGCCCCAGCCCCGAAGAGGAACTTGGGTACAAAATGCTACCTGACCGGGGCCCCGCTGGAGGTCACTCACTCTGCCATTGGAAGAAGAAGACTTAGTTGGGAGAGGAACAAGAGGAGCGAGGAGGTATGTGGCACAAAGAGGAAAAGGTGGCCGGCGTCATGAGGAGGAAGGAGAGGCCGGCGATGCAAGGAGAAGGGAGAGGCCGGTGATGCGAAGAGGAGCGGGATGTCGGCGACGCGAGGAGTAGTGAGATATCAGCAGCGCGAGGAGGAGCAAGATGCCGGCGATGCGAGGAGGTGCAGGCATCTGGCGCTGCGCCGCAATCGCGAGAAGAGGACCTCTGTGAGTCAACACCACAACCTTCATGCGTTTAGAAGTCTGAACGAGTGCTCGCGTTTGCATGTGTGGGGGCTGGATGGGATTGGGAATTCGCGTTTATCATCCCCTACATGGACTAGATGGGCTTTTCTGGTTGGCCTTATCTTAATTTCGGGCCCCACAGGGACTAGCGGGGTGGGTGGAACCCTTTATCCGGCCCCGCCCCCGCAAATGTGGTGGGTCCTGTCCCCAGCCAACCCACGGGTGGAAAACCAGCCCCGTCCCGTCCCCGTAGGGGCGGGTACCTACCTCCAATAGGGAAATTGCCATCCTAACATGGGCACGACCTCCTGAGATGGACACATATTCTTCTCCTGAAAGTGTTAAACCAGAGTGATCCGTGTATTAATTCAAGAACATCAATTGAAAGACCGGCAAAAGTTACTCTCTGCAAGTAGTATATAAGCAATACGAGTATAAAATGTGGAGAGACGAAATGGTATGTTCTACTCCCTCTGTCCCAGAATATAAAAAGTTTTAGAGTTGGACATGATTATTAAGAAAATAGGTAGAAGTGAATGGTAGAGGGTTGTGATTGGATGGGGAGTGTGGAGGTAGATAGGAAAAGTGAATGGTGGAGGGTTGTGATTGGTTGGGAAGAGAATGTTGGTGGAAAAGTTGTTAATATTTTGGGATAAATTCTGAGGGCTAAAAATTATTATATTTTAGGACGGATAGTGTATTTGCAGAAAAAGACTAGAACACCCCTATTTTAATCAAATCCCAATACAACTATTGATCACTTTATCTACTCCAAATATAATTATTCTGTAATTTTAAAAGTTCTTCAATAATTAAAAAAATAAATTTATTTTAAGATAAATGAAAGAAGCTAAAAATAAATTTAATATAAAATAAAAAAATAATACTTAATTAATCATATGATAACGAGTTTCTTTTGTTTGGAGTGCGAGAAAATTTCCCTCAAGTTCAAGGCAACGAACGCAGCCACTCCTATCCGAGACATGCCTTGTGTCTGTCTGTCCAGGGCACACGCGTAGGATACACAGTAGTAGCTGTAGCCAGTTGTGGTGATGGAAGCGTATACCGTACACGTATCCGTCAGTCCTAAAAGAAAAGCACGCATGACACAGATGCCGTGTCAAATCAAAGCCATGATTGTTACTCTGCAAACCTGAATGCCTAGCTAATTGCTAGCTACACAATGGCTGCAATGCTCAAGTGAGACAAGATATAATGGTCCGTGTCTTCATGTCCTTCTTTTCCAATTCACCTTCATTGTTTTTCTTTTAAAATTATTAAATAATGCTTTTTTACAAAATTTTTTATATGAGAATTACTTTAAAAAATTATATCAATCCATTTACTCCAAAATGCAATGGCCAGTTACTCTACTACGCAATGAGCACGGCAGCTAGCTGTGTTTCTCTTCGCTTGCATTGATGTCCTAAGTAATGCCCAGTTGCATATTGATGACCAAAATGCAATAGCTGTTTTGATAGATGATACTGTTGATTTCTTTACATAAGTTGGTCATTTCGTTTTATTTAATTTTTTTATTGAAAATGTAAGTCATATTTTCTTTAATGATAAATCAAATCACGACAAAATAAATACTAATAGTTATGTAATTTTTAATAAGATGAATGATCAAATGTGTATCAAGAAGTTAATAGCATCAATCATCTATCCTCACGCCAGTAGTGGAAGCTCGAGATCCCGCCGCCTCTATGCTAGATCCATCTCGGGGTGCAAACTTTACTGTGGATCCTATGTGTCCAAGGCTGGAAAGAGCGGTCCTCTTTTCTTTTCTTTTTTTTTTTTTTTTTTTTGCAAGATATAGGCTCACTGTTCGAAAGAATTTGGAGTACTCTGGCAAACTAGATGAGTGGTAACCTTCAAATTAATCTTAGAAACAGTTGAAACACAATGAAAAAATGATGGTTGAGTATAACATATAAATGTTTGTCTAATTGTCTCTATAAAAAAAAACCCCAACATGTACGATAAACTTACCA